AAATGTAGGCAGGTATTTGATGAGCTGTAATATTTACCTTACATACCTATCGCAGGGGTATAGATAGATACAGTGGACAGCACATCAGGCTACATATTTTTAATGCAAAATTGCCCCTATTCAACTTCACTAAAACGCCTACTATTAACTTGATTAGCTATCGTCCTTACCAATTTTCTACATAATTTACACTTACTTCATAATGTACTGGAATATATTCTCCATGTCCGGAGGCACCTTCAGGTCCTGGAAATGCTTGGGGTCATAAGCGCCCTCTGCTGGGATGACCACGCCCGCGCCGCCCCGTTTGCGACCGCTACCAAGCGCGGGCTCCACTTTTTCTTCTTCCACATCTCCGCTGTCCGATTCTGAAAGTGAAATTGATTTATTGAATTACCGCTCGTTGCTAGGCCAGTCGATTGGATAATAATACGTGGATAATATTTATTGTTTAGAACTGCTAGTGGTCGACTTTTTTTTGTCTAAAGCTCACGATACCGTAATTAACGGATTTAGCACGTCGGTCTTTAGCTTTACGCAATTAAATTGCGACTCCATTTTTCAGCCATAAACGACAGGCAATTAAAATTGCCTTAACCTCAGTAAGTACTTTTATAGAAATAGTAACTGCTGTACAGCTCTTAGAAAGCTCTCACTTTCACCTGCGTTTTTATTGCCGTTTAAAATGCAAACTACTGCAGTTCAAATTTTCAGTTCAATGAATAGACCTATTGTGATACCTACCTAGGTAGATTATTTAAAATAAGTACCTATTTCACATTCGGCAGTTTTGTTCATCACAAACTGAAAATATTAACTCGAACACGGCAGTTGCATTTGAAATGTTAATTCTAATAACGACAACCGTTGTAAATCTTAACTATTATAAATAATACTCTGGCCTTGCCTGCCAAATACTATAAAAGCGACCGTACTTTGTATTATTTAGAGTAGCCAATAACTAAAATACATTTTCGAATTCATTTAATGTATTCAGAATTGAACGTCTTTGGTGTGCTTGAATTTAATATGATGCAGTCGCGGTCTCGTTACATTTCTATTCAATAGGTACAACAAAGTATTATTAAAGAGCTGTTCTAGACTATATGCATAGAGCCAGTAAAAATGTACAAAACCTTACCAGAATTAGAAGAGTCCGTAGTTTTAGCCGGCCGAGTTAGTTTGGGTCTTCCAGTGCTCTCAACTGAAGCTTGCTTCTTTACTTCTAGAACTTTGTCTGGTTTCAGGTCAGGTTTTCTTTCTGGAGACTAAACAAGAGCATCGATTACATGACAACAAAGTAATTTATATCTACAGAACTGTTCGTCAGCAAAATAATTACTTATGTGCCATTAAACAAGGAATTTGTATGCGATAATTGATATTGAAATGGATCCCTCTTAATGGGTAGGTGTCGAGCACAGTGAAAGTGGGCGACTGTCAGCATCCATCAAGTGTCGAGACAGGCAGAAATCATCTCCATCGTTTAGTTTTAGTGCACCTACTCCTCTAAAATATATGTCGCAAAAAGATAAGATTATTTATTTACATTTTTACAGCTGGCTATGACGTGTAGATTTCTATAATAGGCATTATGACTCTGACACAAACGCTCCGCTCATCACACTCCCTGGCGGGATCAACAAGATTCGAACTCGGGACTGCAATGGCGTTACGTTGTCCGCTAATAACGCAAACTACCAAGCCAGGCGACCCTTCAAAAGTAAGATTATTTTTCTAATGATTACAGTAGGCAATACAATGGGTTTTTTTCTGATATTAGATACCTACCTACCTTCAAAAAGTTACAAATTGTTATCAAAACTGACAGGGTAATGGATACTCGTTACTCCAAAATAACTAGGTATACCTTGACCTTATTTTTACAGTTGGATTGGCAAAGCCGTTATTTATTGATTGCGGTACTTGCATCGGATATAGCCGCATTAAATTAATAACACCGACCACACGCGTGTGACCGCTTGCGCTGACCGCATAGATAGGTTTACAAGGGGATAAGAATAAAAAATATAATAATTAGGTACACGAGGGGAATCTACTGTAGCATAATAAATTAAGGAATATTAACTAGGTTCCAACTCACCTCATCCTCTCCAGATAAGTTACTCAAGAACTTCTCGGGCTCGGAGTCAGAATCGCTATCAGAATCGAAGTCGTGCCTCGCGGTGTGCCGCACCGGAGGGTTGAACTTCGACATGGCGCTCCTCACCACCACTTCCTCGTCAGAATTCTCGGGGCTCTCGATCTCGCGCGAGTTCAAAACCGTCACGGTCTCGTCATACATCCCTCGAGCATATTCAGACACGCAAATAATCGTCTTTTCACTACTGGTGTTGACAGTGAATGTCTGACAATGTTTGTCACTGGTCCCCATGGCAACCACGTGGACACAACGCCGGCCGCCTCGGCTGCAACTCTCCACAGAATAGTCCCGCTCCCGTAAAGGCATGGTGTGCCTTCGCCTGTCCCCCATTCAGTGCGAGTTCGTTCACCCTTGGAAATCGTTTTTTTTCTTGCACCCATGGTACAGAGTGGCACAGCCCCAGCTATATATCTTCGGTTTTACAATGGACANATATATTAGAAATAGTAACAGTATAAATACCTTCTTGTAATGACAACGCTAGATTTGAATCCTCAGAAGTTACACTCGAAGACCTCTTTCGAGTACGTCTTTTCAACTTCTTTTCTAGCTTTTTTATCTTCCGTAGAATGTAATCATCACTATCACAATCCTTGTTCTTGCGTTTAGGCATTTTTAAACAACTTTTGGATAGTAACTTGACGGTTTAAACAAAAAGAAATAGTGAGACGTAGTGAACGGCCGAGCACTTGAACGCGAATGGAAATGGCGATCCCGATGTTGCCATACGAAAAGTACAGCTTGCACATAATATTTTTTTCATGATATTTTTATTTATCTCTCAACTATAGCGTATGAATGGCCACACAATACGTGCTACTACAAGTATTCTAATCTCGAAGACGAAGCAAAGTATAATTAGTGTAGAAAAATAGAACTCTAACAAAAGTGTGACCACAAATTGTCCACACCTACCGCATGCAATACAGATTACTGCTCGACACGCGTAAGGCCTCCGACCTACATCCCTAATAGCGGAAGCCTACAATCGTAGGACGTGACCGGTGACCACACACGACAGCCAGGAAATTAGGATCTTGCATATCATGCCTTACCTTGAAGGAAGGATGCTTTATATTGGACATGTAGTCCAGCTGCATAGGAATGTTTGATGAGGAACAAAAAGTTGAACTTCAAGTCAAATGGATAAGGTTCACATTAGCTGACGGAGCGTAGGTAAGTACTTCGTCTTGGATAAATTTTCTACCCACACGTATACTTAGCCCAAAAACAAGGATGGTCTGTCGTCTGTGCGGCGTCATTAGGGCTTGCAATATCGGATAGTTTTCAACTCCGGAACTGATTTCCGATATTGGGCACTCAACTCCGGAATTCCGGTTCTAGTTCCGGAGTTGGTTAAAAAAAGAAAGCGCTTCCCGACAAACACGTACACGTATGTGGCCTCCACTTTAGAACTTTGCCCCATCGGCCGTCTGTTCTACGTACTATGTGCCCTGCCCATTGCCACTTTAGCTTGGTAATCCGATTGCTATAATAATATGTCAGGCAACTTCAGTTCGTTTACGAATCTCCTCATTTCTGGTTCGATCTCGAAAAGAAACACCGAGCATAGCACTCTCCATACCATGGTGTATGGTGTGCAACTTTGAGCTTATTATAAGGCCTTATAGTAAGAGGCCACGTTTCCGAACCGTGTGCCATCACTACTGGTAACACACACTGATTGTAGACTTTCGTCTTTAGGCACTGAAGTGTTTTGGTCGAAAAGATGTAGTTTCCCGAACGCTGCCCCGCCGAGTTGAATTCGACGTATTATTACATCTCCCTGCCTCACAGCTCGCCCTCGTGTTCTGCCAGGCTCAAAGACCTTCTCATAGTCTAAGAACAACTAGGCAAGTTAGACTCTTCGGTCTTCTGTATAACCTGCCATAGCGTATAGATGCGGTATATGGTAGTGTAAACGTTTCGATAACTGGCTTCCTCGAGAGACTATAAGTCATCGAACCTACGCGCGAGACTATTCGTGATGGCTCTCAAAAACAGCTTGTAGACATGACTCAGAGTCAGAACCCAGATGGGTCTGTAATTCTCCTTTCTCCTTAATAAGGCTTTTACCCCTTTCTTAAAGAAAAACACCACCAAGCATTTGTTCCGTGCCTCTGGCATTATTCCCTAGAGTAAGACGGAGTTACAGTCTATGAAGGACTTTCAGTATCGGCTTATCACCTGCCGCGTTCAGAAGCTCCGAGGTTAATCCGTCATCACCCGGTGCCTTGTTGTTCTTTAGCTGTTTGAGAGCCATCCTAATCACGTAAGGGCTGATGTCCGGCTAATCTTCGGTATAGTGTCGAGTTAGCTTAGCTGTTGGAACTGTCCTGTGGCTGAGCTATTAACAGGTTTTACTCTATCATCCGCTCAAGAGAGCTGAAGACAGCTGGCTTCGCCCATTAGAGTTGTCTCTATCGAACATTTTGGAGCTTTGGTTTCGCCCTATTGCCTCTTTAATATTATTACTAATAAAGTTGCGAATACATATCTCAAGGACTTCCTTATCTAAGAACCTATTTTGATACTTAAACGTTTTGAAAACTTAAAATAATTTATGAAAAATTTCAATATCGGAATACGATATTGGCTTCAGTTCCGGAATTGAAATATCGGAAAAAATGTATCCGAAATTCCGGAGTTACGAAATTCCGGAATTCCGGTATTCAAGCCCTAGGCGTCATACTCATGTCATTGGGCAGTGCAGTACATAGATCTCTACTTATATTTTCTTCGCTTAAAAGTATGTTTGTAAGAGACAATACTGAAAATACAAACTCAATTATTAAAATTCATTAAGACGGCATCCATTTCTTGTAGAGTTAAAAAAATGATTGATCTGAACGTCAGCAAAATTAAAAGTAAAGCCTCTTATCTATTTACCTAGCTACATTCCATAGTAATGTGCCATCATCACATCATGATATTCAACTAGGAATTTGAAGTCACTACAAAATTCCGTCTGACATAAACGGATCTCTTTAAAGATGATTAACTAATGCAATCATTTGCGGCTATTATACCCAACAATAGCTCGTTTGATGCAGCAGAACTGTGCCTTGCATAATCATCTACACACAAAACGATTATATCTACATATGACCCACATTGACATCAAAGAAGCAGTTGCAGTGTGCCGAATTCAAAGTATTTCAAACGACATTTTATTATGCGGAAAAAGGAAGTGGTATTTAGATAAATCACAAAGTTCCGACAGCCATCTGTCGCTCACATCTTCAGTATCATCATCATCAGCCTAAACGAGTCCACGGTTGGGCAGAACCCTATCAGTACGCGCCATTTTGATTATTTAATAAAATGGCGCGCTCTAGCTTCTTCCAGCAACTTCTCGCAAAAGTCGTCTTTCCATCATTTGATGGGCGACCGTCGTCTTTTCATCCTTTGATCTGCGACCCTCTTTCAGGTCATGGTCTCCCAGCACTCAAGTTGTGTTTTCACATTTTCGTTACTGATGAGATTAAGGTCAATTGCGAACTTCTAGCTGGCTGATTATTCAAAAGTTAACAATTACAGGTTTCCTTTCCTTGAATGTTTGTCTTTCGGTTCAGCAGCCACATGACGTCCACTGCTGGACAAAGGCCGCCCTCAAGGATTTCCACCACGACTGGTCCTGCGCTACCCGCATCCAGACACCTCCCGTGACCTTGTTTTTCTTTAATGTCTTATTAACCTCAAAATTATCTTGTTGCAGGTTCCCCGAGAGAGTTTCAAGCACATCGTGAAGGCGTGCGAGTGTCCCCTGTACTGGAAGATGCCCCTCTTCCTGGCCACCCAGCAGAGCCTGCACGCGTCAGTTGACGGACACAAGTTCATTGACTTTTGGAGAGAGTGAGTTCCAATCATTTAATGGTCACCTTCTTTGATAGAGAATATGAGAGGCAAAAAGTCGAAGATAGCTACAGACTTTTGTTGGCATGTTAAGTTTGATCGGACTGTCAATCAGTATGAACAAGGTATTACCGATTTCTCATACAAATTAGAAGTCGACAAAACTGTCTGCCGATAAAAAGATTGTATTCTACGGGGACTCTAACATGGCAACTCATTGTTTACATCAAAAACATCTTTATTAAGGTCTTAATAGTGAATGTGCTCGAAAATAATAATATGTTTACATTTGTAGCGTGAATAAGAGCTTTGTCTGTAAAGATATTTTTGAACATTTTAAAGATACAATTCACAAGATATTTTAGAAGTTGATTACACAAACGTACCTGAAATTCTATTATTACCTGAGGTCACCTTCCAAAATACAATTTTATATTTTATTCTGAATTGAACAATAATATATTGAATTCTGTAAGCCTTGTCTAAGCCAAGATTAGACCTTCTTTATGGGACCTTTAATAAAACTATTTAATTTTTCTGTATTGAAATACTTATTTACGTTCTAATCAAAGGTTTAGAACTTAAATAATAGTCTTTTAAAGCACAATTCGTTTGAAATAAAGGTCTCAAAGTAAGTCTGCAATTTTCTACCTACAGCCTAAAATAATTTTAATCATTGTAACGACCTCTGAGCGAATTCCAGAAGTCGGCAGCCCCGCTGTGGACCCTGAATAGTTTAGCGAAATTGTTCTACCGTAACTTTGGCTACATATGTGCACATTTTCTCTAGCCTTCCAAAACACCTACGCTTCTAACGCAAGTTCATTTCGTAAGCAGAATATTCAGGCCTAAATAAAAACTGTAGGTACTATTACTAAAATGGCTTAGATACACACTTCACTATTTTGAGAGAAAAATGGACTGAAATTATATGGAAAAAAGCCAACTTTTATGAACACAAAGCTTGGCACACCTGCTCTCGTGATTTAGAACAAAGATAAATGTCTAGATATGAATCTACAAGTAAAAATGGGCGAAGTACCTATATTGAAACTTTTCCTGAAAGACGAAAACTGAGAATGCATTGGTTTTACTTATAATGAAATTAGCGAGAAACTTGGACACATTAACAAATGCCAATTTATAAGAAATTACCTAACATAGCAACGACGTAATTTTGTTGATGTGCTAGTCTTTGGTTCTAAAATATAGGTATATATTTTAGAACCAAGTAGGTACTTGACTTATCCCATAGTCAAATTTAGCCTGTTTCGTTCACTGAGCAAAGGATTACTGTGTTCTCTATCCATGACGTAACTGATTAATTCAAATAAATTGAGAGTAATTGAATTACCTACTAAAAAGAGGATGAGAAAAGATTTACAACGATCCTACCAATCTCGTAGATAATTTTATTAAACAAAATCAGAGAATACTAGCAATAGGCTCTTGTCTAATGTTAAAAGGAAACTACATATACAATAAGGTTAGGTTAGTCGACCAACTTTAATCCCAAAGCGTCTTTCCTTAAAATTGTGCCACCTAGTATGCCGGTAGCGGAATAGACCTCATCTTGGCCGGGGACTGCACTATCGTATCGTATCAAAAACTTTGTAAGGCTACGGGACTATTCCCACCTCTCTTTCCCACCACTGCAACTCCTGTGTAGCCAGGATCTGCAGCTTGACCGCCAATAAAAACCCAACCAGTGAAGGTCAAATTTGTCCCGGGGAAAGTTAAACTGTCATATAACTAACGGACCCAGTGAGAATCCAGTGATAGTATTATCACAGATAATATAATACTAGGTACTATGTAAGGCTAGAGTACTCTTTAGCCTGCTTTGAATCCTTTATAATAACCACTAATTTTTTCTCAGGATGACTGCCCAGTGCCACGACCAGGCCTCCCGCTTCGTATACATCCTCACCCGAGGGAAAAGCAACTCACTGGCCCCAGAGGACTTTGTCCCTCTGGTCCAGGACGTCGTGGACACCCACCCTGGGCTCTCCTTCCTCAAGGAAGCCACGGAGTTCCACTCCAGATATGTGCATACTGTGAGTATTGAGTCTTTAATGTTATTGAGGGTAAATTATGAATTTGATTTCGGCAGAGTAGAAATATAGGTAGATACCATTTCTACTCTTCACGAGGATGTCGCTAAATAGGTACGACTAAAGCCCGTTTTCATGCCATTTGCTACATATTATTTCATACAAAGTTCATGGTTATGTAGAGGATGAGCACGCTCAACTTAAAAATCTCAATTCAGAATTAAGGGACAAAATATGTGAACATCATCAATTCTTCAAGACCTGTCCTCCAAAATTAGACCATGGAGTGTATTTTGTGGCAATCGTGGGTCTAAAGAGCTTAATTTGAAATTATCCTCTAAATTCGCTTTGATTGCTTAAATGTTGTTTGAGAGAAGCCAAATAAATAGCTAATTTAATATTTTATTAAATGGATATTAGACATAATTTGGTTGGAATGTAGCTAAATAAAGACCAGGGCCGGATCTACCTATGGGCTGATTGGGCTGCAGCCCAGGGCCCCGGGGTTACAAGGGGCCCCCAGATCACGCTAAAAAGTAGGCAAAAAAAAAGTTGTTTGGAAAGTCGGTTTACGGACGATGTTTTTACGTGACAACGTCATAAGAAAATATTGATTAAAAATTGCATAGGTACTAAATTTTTGAGATTTTTTTTAAATTTTTTTTCTTCCAATTACTTCTTGTAAAGAAAACGTAATAACTTTTAAACTAAGAGGTANAAACAATCAGGAAAAACAAAAAGTAAGAATGTTGGTGGGTTGATACCTGAACTAGGAAGATTCCTGTGTCTCAGGTTTGTTACTCTTTCACGCAAAAAGTACTCAACGAGCGCGGCAATCACACTTAACTAACAGAGAGCATAGCGAAATCTATTTTAATCACCAATGTTCAAAACTCCCGGAACACTTTCCAGGTAACCACGTTAATTTGTACCAAATGACTGGACTACAATTAAATTGATATAAAAATTTGGGTGCATGTTCTCAAAAACAAAAGAACTGGTGCTAAAAGGGTTAAGTGACGTTTTGACATTTGTAGAGGGCCTTGTAGAAGGGGAGGCTATGGTGCTGAATGTGGATTAACTCGAGTGTCATAGTAACTTATTAGACTGCTAAGCTTGATGATAAAAAGAAAAATATTTTATTCAATGTACATAGTCTGGTCATAAGTTCTGTCATATGATAATAACTTTTGAATTTTGAATGAAGGTTTCAAAAACATTTTCTACTGAATTAGAATTAAAAAGAAAAAATGTGCGATAGTTCGAATTTTATTGTATGTGTAGTGGACGCATAAAGAAGTCCGAACTGCAGTTGTCACGTTGCATTGCTACGCGCCAAAGCAGACTTTCGTTGTGCTGAAAAAGTTTAGTTTATCTTTTCATTAAATGATAGGTATAGGTGTACCAGAATCTCATGGCAAACAAAAATATTGGAAAAGTGTGTCTTTAATATGGCAAATGTCTATGGCTTTATTGTCACCTGTCAAAGTAAATCAAGTGAACTGTCAGTCGCTGCAGAAATTTTGTAATCTCTTCATGCCTATTTGTTATTTTTGTGAAAAAGTCGAAAAAGCTCAAGCAAGTCATATTGTTTTCAATGTGTATTGTAAAATAAGGCATAATTCAAAGTCAATCTTTGATTTTAAAGCGCGTCGTTGAGTTGACAGTAAGTTGGAGTGAAATTGGATACATTTAGTTTATTACCTAACTGCGTCAGAAGGAGGGTTTTTTTTAAAATTTTATTCTTATAATAGCTGCTTTATCGGGGGTTTCAGGTGTACCTCACAAATTGGTGCAGAGGAATGGTGAAAATGTTATGACCATGTAAATAAAATTGAAAAAGATTTCATCAAGTAAGATGTAAGATAGAATAATTGAAATGGTGGAAGAGCAATTTATAATAAATACCTCTTTATCTTGATCATCTATTGAAGAAAAGTGGAATCCTTGGAATCGTTTTCTAGTTCTGAATGAAGTGATTAGTTATAAGTATGATACATAATAAAATTAGTTACATAAAGTAATATACGATTTACTTATTTTTCAAGACATTTTCCTATTATTATTACTGACGGGATTGCTACCATGTACCTTAGTTTTGAGTTTCCAATATTTCGGCACTGTTGCAAGCGCCATGGTCACGGAGTAACTGAAGAAATTAAAACCAGACATCGTTCAGATGTGCGTTCAAAAGACCTGAGATTTAAAAAAATCCCACGTTTTGTTTAAACAGTAAGCGAAAAAAAAGTGACTTGAAAATGGAATACAAAATGATAAGGTATGGTAAATGATAAGTCTTTATCAATGAAGAAGCAGAAGTTCAATTTCATGTGTCCTCCATCTAGGCTAGTTTCCATCGTCACTCAAAGTTTGGCTGCGGTCTCAAATTTGGGCTTAATTGAGGTATTTTTTGGGTGAGAGGCATAAGAACTAATGCCGTTTTATATCAAAAATTCATACTTAAAGGTAATCAACCAGGTACAAAGTATTTCCTTGTATGTTAGTCTGCCACTCTTTAGTAAGTCCCGAAATCCCCGCTTCGGCTCCCCTACTAACCATTCTAACCATTGTACACAGATAATATCTTACATGCAGCTTTTCATGTTACTACGTCACATTTTCAAAATCCGCGCGGAAAATCGCTCCTAGCGGAAGAGCGCACTTTGAGCTTGAATATTTCAGTCATTTTTAAAGATATCAAAAAAGTAAAAATACAGTATTCATTCTAATTTTTTGTAGTATTTTTTGGCATCTTCAACAAAAATTGTGCGCCATGTCCATTGACTATCGTTCAGACGATTCTATGCGTCTATTTTCAGAAATGCAAACAAAAGAAAGGAAGCTTGAAATAGATAAACAACGCCATAACAAACGGAATGCAATGCGGAGACTTCTGGGTTAGTTTGAACAGTAATAAAGTCATGTAGTTAATTAGACTAAAGTAGAAATAAAAAGATTATTTGAGAAATGTCAACTTTATTAACTAAAATAAGTAGTAATTAAGTAATGCCTATATGGTACAAAAATAGTGTGCTAAACATGTGCCTTGATTAACCAACGTAAAAAAATCGTCCTCAAAAATTTAAAATTTACTGTTGGTCAAAGAATTCTACGCATTTCAAAAATGAGACATAAAAAGATCTTAAAATGTGTGGGAAAATGAGATACATTATTGTCAATGAGATGGGTAGGTCGTATGTGAGAAAAAAATATTCTAAGTTTACATCGTCAACATTTGGGAAAGTAGAGGATATTTAGGCCACAACAAGTATAGAATCCAGCACATCAACGTAGTACAAAATGTGAATTTTCTATATTGGGCAAAACAAAAGTATATCCTCGTTTAGTCGTATGTTGACCTGCCGGCGATTGAACCTTTAACATTTTAGAAATCGCTCCGACTAGTGTACTTGAGTTACACAGACGATATTTTGTGTTAAAAAATTACAATCTAAAAATCTAATATCTAAAATTACAACTATGAGGACAACATACCATTTTTGAATAATTATCTACAAAAATATTCCACATAATGTCAAATAACATGATCCAAAAAATATTTAAAAGCTGTATAACCATTTCTGACAAAATAAATATGTACTATGCATTCCTTTTTAATATACAACAGTTTATCATGAAAATATACATTCTATGAACAATTCTAAGACTGTTAGTATGGCTGAGGCCTGAGTGTAAAACGAATGAGCACTGTATTTACACATTAAAATTATGTCCGGCATAATTAATAATGTGTAATAATTAAATGTGTATTAATACGAAATTTCGACCGACATCGATATCAACGAATAGACAAAATAATGACAACTTGTAAAATTATTTTACGATATTCGAGTTTCTATCACAATTAGCAGTCTTCAATTACAAACAGGAATTATTTAATTAGGCACTTGGTGATTTGGTACATATTACAGTGGCTCGTTGGGACTTAATGTACTTATCAACAGATAAGCGCACAAGCAACAAGCCCAGAAATATCAGTCTAGATCACAGACACTATAAAACAAAGTAAATGTTTAGATACGCCTAAAATTAGTTCAGCCGACTTTGTTGATGAGTTCATCGCATATCGCGGTCAGCTCCTCGTTGGCTTTGGTTTTCTGCGCTAGAGTCTCCTCCAAGGACGTTATGTGGAGATCCTTTCGCTTGATCATGGCATTCAACTTTAGAACATCCGCCTCGTGCGTACGGTTCATCTTTTCCAACTCCGAGTTGGCGTGATTTAGTTTGGATGTCGCATGCTGTTTCAATAGCTCGTAGTTGGACTGCATTTTATTTAGATTCTCCTCGAATTCTTTGATAGATTTCTTGTAAGAGTCTTCATTCGCCTTGCAAGTCAGAATGATCTGCTTGCTTTTCTCGTATTTGCTGTGCAAGTCACTAAACGAGACTTCCATACTCGCTAAATGAGCCGTTTGTTCGTCTCTCTCTTTTATAAGTCTAATTCTTTCTTCGTTATTTCGCTTCTTGTCTTGCTCGGTTTCTGCTATCAAGCTCGCAATCGTTCTCTCATATTCTTCAACTACAGCCGCCATACTTTTATTGATTTTAGTCTTTTCAGAAAGCTTCTCGTTCAAATCATTGATCTTTTTCAATCGATCTTGACTCTCCGACTCTAGCATTCTCATTTGAGATTCCATAGTCGACAGTCGATCCTTTAGCTCTTTGCTCTCGGTTCTCAAATTGTAAACATTTATTTCCTTTTCAGCAAGCAATTCTCTGAGCTGCGTGAGAGCCAGATCAGCTTCCGTCTGTTCCCTACTGACGTGGGAGACTGTCGTATCGTGCCCGACCAGAGAATTGTTGGCACTCAACGAGAGAAGTCTATCAATAACAGCAATGGCAGGAGAAGTGAATGTAATAGAACGCCTGTTTGCGCTTGGGGGAGTTAGGATCTTATTTCTTGGCGTAACGATAGGATTCACAGCCGGTGTGACTACCATCATCGGTTTAGAAACAGTTACATTAAAGTCATCTGTGTTATCTTCATTTGTGGTTTTATTAGCTACGTCTTGTGTTACATTCAAAGTTGATGGTCCAGCAATAGATTTGTCAAATGTGGTCTCAATTTGCATGGCTGTGGTCATCTTTTTAGGAGTACTTTGTCTCTTTTTGTTTAAGGCAGCCAAAACACCATCCGTGGACATTCTCTTCGCAAACAAAGGATCGAATTTTAAGAATAAGCTTTCTTTTCCACTGTCCGCAACTACATTGCTCTTGTTTTGGTTAAGCAAGAATTCGAAAGCCTCTGCGTCAATGAATAGCTCGCCAGCATCAGCATTATCTTCGGCACCCTGAGCGGGTAATTCTGAGAACTGCATCATATCGACATCTTCGCCATCAAAGTCGGACATTTTATCGTCAGTGTTTAAGTCTTCGGCTTCTAGGAAAGGCCCCTCTATCGTATCTTCATCCTCAGTATGAACTTCTCTGACAGTAAGATCCTTTTCATCTGTCGCTTTCGAAGAGCAGCTTGTATTACTAGTATTTGCATCTTTTTCATCTGTATTAATTTCTGTGATAGTAGCATCCGCTTTTAATTTCAAAGATGTGTCATAATGACTGGAAAGTTCTTGTGTAATATCTAGCGTCATAGTCGCATTGCTTGGTGGAGGTGATTTGCACATCTTCGATTTTGTTTCAAAAGGATTTTCAGTAAAAGTAGCGTCTGATTTTAACATTGATGTTTCAGAGGCATTAGGAAGATCTTGTGTGGCATTCAGGGTAGTAGTCGCGTTTAAGCTTGGTGGGGGTGTATTACGCATCTTCGATTTTGTTTCAAACGGATTTTCAGTAAAAGTAGCGTCTGATTTTAACATTGATGTTTCAGAGGCATTAGGAAGATCTTGTATGGCATTCAGGGTTGCAGTCGCGTTTAAGCTTGGTGGGGGTGTATTACGCATTTTGGATCTTGTTTCAAACGGATTTTCAGTAAAAGTAGCGTCGGATTTGAAATTTGATGCAACGTCAGTGGATTTAGGAAGGTCCTGTGTAACATTGAGGTTTGCAGTCACATCCAAGCCTGGTGGAGGTGATTGACGCATTTTACATTTCGTTTCAAAAGGATTTTCAGTGAAAGTAGCATCGGATTTGAAATTTGATGTAATATCAATGGATTTAGGATGATTCTGTGTAGCATTCAAATTCTCTGTTGTGTCTAAACTTGGTGAGGGTGACTGCCGCATTTTAGATTTTGTTTCAAACGGACTTTCAGTAAAAGTAGAGTCGGATTTAACTGTTGATTGATTATCGACGGCGCTAGGAAGATCTAGTGTAGCATCCTGGATAGCAGTTGAATTCAAACTTGGGGGTGGCGACTGGCGCATTTTGGATTTGGTTACAAATGGATTGAAGTTCATGTCGTCAATTTCAGGTAAATTAAATACGTTTTTGGTCATAGTTCCTTCACTTGATGAAGTTCCAGCTGAATAGTAAGTTGACTGCTCAGATGACGATGTATATTTTGTCTCGTTCGACGTAGCATTTAGAGATTCTACTGATGATTTATTATCACCAGCGTTGACGTCCATAGTAGTATCTACGTCGCGGATGTCTACAGACTTTTCTTCTTTAGCAATATGGCTTGACTCTTGAAGTGTAATATCTAACGGTTTTTCTGTTACATTAGATTTGCTTTTGTTATCAGGAGTCATGTTTGTTTGCTTGGTTTCGAGTTTATTGTTAGGTTTAGTTTTAGGAATATCTACAGAGCCAGAGAAAGTGGAATTCATCTTCTTTTTTGGCATAGCCGGTTTCTTTCTTTCAGGTTGAGATTTCCTTCTATTCTTATTGATGTCTCTTTGAGGAGGCCTTTCATCGAAAGTCGTATCTTCATTTGCAGGTCTTGTTGGTGTGTCAGGTGTTGGAGACATTCTGATTTTTGTTTTTGTAGCGAACGGGTCGTCAATTTCATCAAAATTGAAGTTGTACCCTTTAGAAACAATGACAGGTGAGGATGGTGGAGTTATCACTACCTTTGTTTTTGTAGCGAAAGGATCTTTTACTTCATCTAAGTTTGGTTGCTCTGGCACTTTATCTATTTGACCAACTAGTGACACATAAGGACTATTGTTTTCAGACAAAACTATTTCTTCATCTTTGTTAACTATATTGTTGATGACGTCAATTGGTGTAGTTTCCATTGAAAGCATCTCGACATCCATTTTAGTTACTTCTGAGGTATTTGCTTGTTCTATAGGTACTCTTTCGGTTAGATTTAGGTTAGATTCAAGCACTAGGCCTTCAATATCCTTAGGGATAGCTTCTACAGTAGATACTTTTTCATAATTCAACTGGTTCTCCAAAATTGTTTCACTTTCAGTAATTTTTATTTCAACATCTTTGCCATCACTAACAAGTACATTTTCTTGAATAGCATCTAAAATAACCGCAGGGTCATTAATAGTAGGAATGAGGTTTTCGGATTCTTCAACATGGTCTTGCCCTTCATTCACAACAGTATCTGTCGTAACATTTTCATTTTTAATTTCAGGTGCATCTAAATGTGGGATTTCCTTTATGATGTCAGAGCAATCAACAACACTAGGCATATTGTGTACTTCAGTGGCAGGAATCACATTTTTCTCGACCATAATTTCAGGATTTATAACATCTTTTGGCGTTTCCAAGACTGCTTTACAGCCAAGTTGAATAATTTCGGCTTTATCTTCTAAAACAGGCTGTATAATATTATCTAAATTCAGTTTTATATCTTCAGTCACTACTGCATTTTGTTGTAAAACAACATCCATTACTCCCGCATCAGAAATACTATCATTGATATCCATTGGTTCAGGAAGTGGTAAAATTGTAACTGGTTTTATTTCTTCTTGGGCCGAATGAATTTCTACAGGAACATTATCATTATTGAGATTCTTAATATCGGAAGATCCAATTTCTTCTGGTTTATTTTCAGTATCTATTGCAACAAAATCATTAATCGCATTAACTGTTTTATTTGCATCAATCGATTTGGCTGGGATAGTTGGCATGTTTTCAACGTGATCAGAATGTGTTGGTCCAGTGAAAGTTTTATTATTAACGTCTTCACTAAATGGCACTGTCCCTTCTTCAACTAAAATGATTGTCCCAATAGATTTTTCATTCTCAATGTCTTCTTCATCTGGTAATGGAATATTAGCAGGCACATCTAGTGTGTCCATGGCTTTCCCAGCTGGAACACTAGCTTTATCGCCATCTCCAATTGTGTTTTTTATATCCAATACCTCTGCAACATTTTCGATTTTCTTGATTGTTTCATCTACTTCAATGTTTTGTGGTATTGAATGAGCAATAGTTTCGTTTTGAAGTTCATGTTTTTCAGACAAATTCAAGGCAGGAATATTGACACTTGAAGGTATGATTTCAGTACCTGACGACACAGTGGGAGATTCAATATTCACCTCTAATTGTTGAGTGATTTCAGGTTGAGTTTCTTCGTTAACTGTTGAAGATTCAGCAAGTAAAGTGGGTGTTTCAATAATAGGTAAGGTAATATGAGATTCAGTTTTAGTTTCAGTTTCTATCTTGTCATAATTTTCTACTTCACTCACAGTGTTTAGTTTAACAGTATCTACATCATTAATCATACTATTGTTTGAATCATGTTTTACTTCAGTTTCACTTGTAGCTTGAGGAATGTTTAAAGTTTCATTTAAAGGTATTGTTACATTAGGTAACTGGTTCTGCAAATCTGTTGACAACTCACCAACAACTGAAGATGGTTCAATTTTCACTGCAAGCTCATTGTTAGTTTCTGCATTTATTGATGAAAGTACTGCAATTTTCGATGTATTCTTGCTTTCAGCTTGGTCAGTCACATAAGAATCTGCTTTGTCATTTGTAAATGTTGTCTCGCAATCCACAAATTCACAATCAGACTCATTGGCATGCATAGCTTCCGCTAAGTCTGTGATTGTTCTGTTTTTAATCATGGAATCATTAGCAGATATATCCATATATTCTACAGTTGAATTAAAATCATCATCATTTTGCTTTGCTGGTTCTTTCACATTGGATGGGCCTTGCTGAAAAAATAACTTACTAATAGGTATTTTCTCGTGACTAAAAAGTATTGTTGTCTCATCTTTCCACAGTAATTCTTTCTCCAAATCTTCATTGAACACGAGGCTTTCTTTGAGTGGGCTGCACCGTTTTGATAAGTTGCATTCTTTATGTTTGTTAGCGGCTATTGGTGTTGAAGCCAAGACCGCTGAAGAAGCCGACTGAGTTGTGGAATCTGGAGTGGCACCAGAAATATCAGCAGGACTTAAAACCTGCCTTGCTGCACTGTCTGCATGGTCAGCTGGTGGTATCGGACTTTGTGATGATCGGAACATGTTGAGAACACTTTTAAGGCCACGCATAATTGGAGAACCGCCATCATCTCTGGAAATCTCTTTTGTAGGGGTTATTGCTTCAGGTGTTTGAGCAGTCGATGAGGAAGAACTTGGAAAAGACATATTTTCGTCCGCTTCATTATTTCCAGATACCGTGATGGTGACATTATTTTCAATCACAGAAGTAGTATCTAAATGCCTAAGTACTGAAGCATTTCTGCTGTTGTCCACATATTGCTCTGTTGAAATAGTTTGCAAAGGTAATGTTTTCACAGGTTTGTTCAAAACATCTTTAGAAATAGCAGAGTGAAGCGATCTGGTTAAATTGTGGTTCAAATTATCATCACCTGATTCAAGTCCGCGGTTATCGACACAGTTTGCAGTATAACTCTTGGACATGGGAGAAGAGGCCGGCGTTATGGAGTACCTTAGCTTCATATTTAATTCAGACACATCCAACTCTTCATATCCTTTCTCCGTGCACGGGGTCCTCGGGTAAACATTGCTGTGATGAATGCTATTTTCCTTGTTATCAAAGTCACTTTCAATATTGTCTATGTCCATAGGCTCCACGTTGTGAGCCATCGCACTGGTTCGTCGCACTGCACCACTGAACTAATTTATCTTGGCCACTTTCCTGTCCGCAATCCGTCACGGCCGCCACAACACTCGATATCTTCTCCGCAACACAATCTGGAGTGAGATACAAAGAAAAAAATCAGTCCAATGTTTACAGTCAGCCGATTTCAGAGAGTTTCACTGCGATTTCTAATAGGTACGTAACATAATCAACGACGCGATATGTATGTCATTATAAACAAAAATGTCTGAACACGCAACTCACTGTGGACATCTATTTTTAACCTTTTTGTGGTGCACGCTGTATGCCGCTCGCTTTATGTAACGCAGCGCCCGAGGGAATCTTGCCAAAAAGCTATGGAAGCGGACCGACTCCAACACAAATACACTAGCCGCTACAAAACCGTTTGAAATCCGGTAACTTTTTTTAATTCAAACTGTCATTTTAGGGCTGTGCTGTCAAAAATATGATTTTGAGGTTCTTTGTATGTCATTGTTTTATGTAACACGTACCCACGGGCAAGCCAGCGGGCAAAGTGACCTTGAACATTACAAGACGTAAGCTAATTTTACTGGCAAGTGTACAGCCCCTCTAGACAAAATGTAAAAATTGTGACAGTTTTCAGTCGAAAAATGGTCACAAAGCCATTTTTTGTGTGGGGTTTCAACGGATTCGATTTTCGATTCCACCAAAAAGTGCCACTTGTCTAGCTAGACCCACAGGATAAAAATTATAGGTAGAATGGGTTTGGAAGCACATTTACATAAAAGCAAGTGTATGAGGTAGGATTTTCTACCCCATCATTGCCTGATGCTATTTCAATGTCGGATTGTGTTAAGGGTGTTTAGTTTAGTGTTGTCGTTTAGACATTCATGGTTTAAATAAAGAATACATTTGTCTAAAATAGCAATCATAAATAAGATTATTCTATTATCTATAGCCTGACCAGGAACATAAAAACCCTCGCCATGTTGCGGAAAACTAATGGTACTAATTTCTTTTAATGGCAACAGCAACTGAAAACTTCATTGACATGTCACCTTGCATGTCAGTCTATTGCTGTCAAAGTGTAAACAAACTTTATTTTAAATGTGCGCAATTGATTTTGTGAATTAAATTGCTAAAATCTTTTTATAGTCGTGAAAGAAAAGTGGTTCACAATGTGTTAAAGTATTTATCGAAGAGAAATACTAAGGGTTCGGACAATATTTTCATTGAATAATATTTCCGACAAAGGTTGTCAAATTGACTGACATGTTTATCGTATAGTACAGTCCACTATGAAAATTAGCTGTGGTTTGTTTCAAATACCTATTTTAAAGTTTTTTGTCACTTTATAAGTGTTGAATTTTATGGAATTGGGAAAGAAGTACCGAGTTTGAAGCGTTCATGAGCAGACATTGCAGTTGAATATTCAAGTTCTGAATTTGATTATTGATGAATAATAAAATAAATCATACTAACTCGATTGATGGTTTCATTTAATTTATTTAAACCAGGTTACCTATAATAATATTTTTTCGTTAATTTATGAAAATATCAAATTAGTCCGTAATCCTGAATCCCGATACATAAAGTTAGCCTATTAATTTAACACAGGTACGACTGTACTCAGTGTTGCACTATCAAATGCAATTGACGCGCCTCTATGCCAGGGTTTTTATGTTCCTGGTCAGGCTATACAATAGTTAATTTTTAAAAATAGTCTAATGTTACAAATTCATAAATGTCGCCACAAAAAAGACACAATAATCGACATATTAAAATACCCAAACGCAAACAAAAAGTTTACGAAGCTAGTTTAGCTTAATCACAGATAATATAGGCTTAATTTTGATTAAAATAATGTGAGCATTCTTTTTACCCTAATTTTTTAAAATCCCAGTATCTTTTTAATGCCGCAGCCAATGTAATTATAGTTCCAAAATACAGAGCCCCGATTACGATAACTTTTAACGTCTACAATCCAGACGCGTTTCTGATTCTGCAATACGATTGGTCAAAACAGCTGACGTACGCTGTTGAACGACCAATCGTATCGCAGAATCGAGAAGCGTGTCTGGATTGGAAACGTTAAAAGTTACCGTAATCGGGGCTCTGGACTGTCCTATCGATGACATTGACAGTGGGGCGCCACCGTCAATACCGGATCGCTGGTTCCGATTTTTGCCATGTAGGAAACCATATAGTTGAACGATGGTAACGCCCCCCTGTCATTGAGTTTGGTGGGACAGTTCAGCGTGGGTCATCTATAGTAAAATATTGAGAAACGACTTTGTTGGTTGGCCTTTCTAAGTCATAAATACAAACTTATCATTTTCTAGACAATATTCGTAAACGTTTCTGTAAGCTCAACGTCAACACCTTTCCGTCAATGTCAATGTCAGCATCAGCAGGCAGTCAAATATTTTTTTGTTGTTGTTCGTGAATTAATTGTATTATTTACAATTAAATTTATATTCATTGTGCAAGAACGATAGTCAATGGTTATATAATAATGGTCATCGTAAGTTATTTATTTTTTGTCATCGTAAGTCTAAAAAAATATTAGTGCACCGCATTTTGAGGTTATGCAAGGTCACATTATTCAATAAATCCTTTGCTATTCAATTAATAAGTTTCACTAACTAAGTAACCATAATCAGTTGAGCTCGTTACCATCTGTGTTTCTGTGTTTATCACCTTATTGGCATTTGAATTATTTGGGCTTTTTCCGCGTAATTTATTGAAGTTAGTACGCTTGAGTGCTCTAGTTAATGAAAGTTTTAAAGAGTTGTGAAACCAGCTCGACGAGCTGTAGCCAGTCAGTGTCATTATCAACCGCGTTGGAGGGCCTCGTGTACGAACGCGCGAAGTTAATTTATTTTAAAGTACCTACTTCTTCAATGTGTTGTTGTCTCACCTGATAACATAAATTAAGTCACAGAATTTGGTTACAAATTGTGTTGGATTGTAGTCAATGTTAAAGCTAATTTGTAAGGGCGTACCTTTTTTATTTACTTAAAATAATTGCACTCTTTCTGTAAAAAGAATAACTCATAGTTTTGTTTCAGAACAAAATATGGACATTGAACATGGTGTGACCGTAAAGTTATTATTTTTTGCAAAATCCAAAGAATTGGCTGGCATCAAAGAAACAACTGTTCGGTTACCGAAAAAGATAAGCTACAAACAACTGCTGAATTACATTGCTGAACATTACAACTTACAATCTATTAAGGATAACATATTATTAGCTAAAAACGAAGAAGTCTGCGAAGAGACACTTGATATTGAAATAAGTGAACGAGATAGCATTGCTGTGATACCTCCTCTGAGTGGAGGATAGTTGTGATTTAGTCAATAATTTAATTTTACGTAAAATGGATCATCTCAAGTTAACAGTAGATAAGTTGTCCGTTGAAGCCATAAACGATCTAGTGCTTGATGACAGCTGCGGTGCAGTATCAATGTTTGTCGGCACTACTAGAGATAATTTTGAAGGAAAAAAGGTTCGTACGCTTGTTAAATAACTTGATAAGATAGTAGAGATTTTTTATTTGACACTTTTTGTGTTTACATAATATTATTAACATGACAAAATTTCATTACACTGATTATAACTGATAATATTTAATAGAGTTATCTGAGACATATTGCTATGGGTAATTTAATTTAATGATCAAGATTAAATACCACAGAAGAATTATTTTTTTATACAATAATTAGATTATGTTTATCATTATAGGCTTTTAGAGATAATATTTCAATTAATTTAATTATATTTTGTACAACCTAACTTGCTTTAGTTAGATCTAAATTTTTCAAAGAAGTTTCTAGTAGGCTATCAGGAACTTCATCAGCAAGTGCCCTTGTTATTAGAAATTAAAATAGCAAGCACCTATTAAGTACACATAATTAAATACGTTTGTTTGTATAGGTGTTGCGGCTTGAATATGAAGCATACGAGCCTATGGCATTGAAAGCCATGAAGAGTATTTGTGATGAAGTAAGAAACAAATGGCCAGCTGTGTACAGCATAGCTTTGTATCACAGGTAAAGTATTGTTTTTTACCGTTTTATTTATTTATTCTTCAGTATTCTGTATTAAGTGATGTTTACACATTATATCGAATATTAATATTCTAAATCTGATGTGACGATGCATGGATGAACTACGAGACGGATTACGGAATTTGGTGTATCGTTATAATGTCATAATTTCAACATCAAACATCAGAATGGCTCATCAAAATCTAGTTGTGGTATTAAAAAAAACTATTTTTGCACTTCAAGTACCTAATTAAACTGTTATCTATAAACGAATGTTTTATCCAGTTAATTTATATGCGACATATTTACACTCTTGTAAACAGGCACTATCAGTAAGTAAGACTTCAAACATGAAAATTCTGAAGATTTTAAGCAACACAAAGAAAACCTAAAATTACCACCACAAAGTATGATAATAATATTGTATGTGGATGCAAATAGGCAATTAAGGAATGCCTTCATAGAAACAGTTTTTGTAGATCAAAATAAAACTAAAACCACTAATTGCGTCATTCTCACTCATGTGTCTGAGATATTGCGTCATAAAAGTTTAATTAAGCCATTCAGTGCCGCTCTAAAAAGTTAGGTTACTTCCCCCATGCCGCCATACATTAGGTACCGCCCGGTCATCTTGAATATGGTATTTTTTCCCGCCCATGGGCGACTTTAGCCTACGCGCAGACCACCGACTTTTAGTGGGCCGATAGTCGGGCCTGATTCTAATTTGTATGAAGAATCATCGGCCGATACCAAATCGGTGTAATGTGCGCACTTTCATACATCTCCATACTGATCAACAGGCCGATCCAACTATCGGCTAACTAAAATTCGGTGGTCTGCGCCTAGCTAGGCTAACTGTTGCACAATTTACAAGTAAATCAGACATTAACTCACATTTTGAATCACTTTTAATAAAAGTAATCATCATTACTCAAAATTCCATATTTTTTTAATGTTCTCTGGCTTACTTATGGAACTTTTTAAATCCACCCGCCCATTAGCGGGATCGGCAATGAATGGGTTAATTTCACGGTTTGAAGTACCGACAGCAACGCAAATGCGAGGTTTCCGGTGACTGGGACTGCGGTCCCATAAAAACGCGGTCCCAGCCGCTGGATCCATAAAAATTTAACATTTTTCTTCCAGCGACTTCCTAGTCCACTCATAGATCACTTAAAAAAATACATTCTTCAAGTCAAAATCTGTACAGTACTAAAATATATGAGTGGTCCCAGTCGCCGCGCGCCGGAAGAAAATAATTTAATTTTTACGGATCCGGCGATTGGGACCGCGGTCCTAGTTAATTGCGATCCCAGTCGCCGAAAACCTCCAAATGCTAATGGGCATGTATTTCATAAGATATTTAATTTTGTATTTTATCAGTAAGTTGAAGTTGGTCATGTCACGGCTACGAAGATAATAATTACACTTGTCTGATGACGATGTTTACATAATTACCTCACGAATATGATTGTAATATTGTTGAGATAAATTAGTATTAAACGTATTGATGTAGGTTATAATAAGTAATTTAAATAGAAGATTTTTTTTTTTCTCTTTATTTGGGACAACAAACAGTAAATAAATTAAAGGAAATACCTTTGATAACATTACCTTTTTGCTTTTTTGTTTTGGTTAATTTTACGAAAGGGTGAATCGATTTTGAGTGAGTTTATGAAAGAGAAAAAATAATGAAATACAAATTAAAGTAGGTAAGTAATAGCTATATTCTTTAGTACGAAAACGCTATAAATAAAATAACTGTTTCGATTAAGGGTTTATTTATAAAATAACACTGTTAGGGTTTCTTTAGCATTTTCATTGAAAATGCGATTTCACGCAGCAATCGCATAGTAGAACGGCCAAGGACGTTCTGCCCACGGCAAATTGTACACATCCTCAATTTTATACGCTAATGCCGCTACTGTAATGATAAAATAATGATACAGGAAAATTAATTACCTTATTAGCATCAAAAAGCGCGTGTCATGGCAACCTTCACTATAGTGTACATGTCGCAGTCGGATTGTATAATCCGCCGTTTTACATTACCACTAGGCATTTTACATTACAGCTCTGTTTTGTAATACGGCGGTTCAACGTTTAGGCGGATTGAATACGGCTGAATGAAAATCCGCCGGAATGTATTCGGCGCCAAACGTTCTTCAATACGGCTAGCCGTAATGTAAAACAGCGTGTCATTACCCGCCGCTTTGACAGTTTTTAGTTCCCATTTTCAATACCGTGGCGCTGCCTGACATAACAACAACAATGGCGTCAGATGCAGAAAATATGTTGCTAAATTACGGAGTTATTTCTGAATCTAATAAAGAAAACGTTATAAATATGTGTGTCGACAGTGAGTTTAAGAACAATTTTAACTTGCAATTGAAGAATTTCTATTCTTCACAATGTGGAACAGTCAAAAAACCGTGGACAAGGGACCGAGTTTTGGAGGTTATAGCCCACATCAAAACCGCTAAAGTGGCTATGGATTCTGGTGTTCGGCGGAATCCTACTCAATATTATTGGTGCAAAAATTATGATATTATGACAGTGGCCGCTGAAGATTTTGAGATATCTTTTATTTTAAGATGTTTGTACCTTGTAATTACTTATTATGTTTAAAAATGACTAAATCCAAATATTCTATTATATAATTAACTTTCAAAAAAAGTTTATTTGTTTTGAGATTGCTGTCCTTGTGATTTATAAACATACAAAAAAATTACTGAAGCCAAATATATAATTTAGTATTACTTACAGTAACGAAGATAATAATTCTTACTTAATCACTAAGGAATATCGTGAGAAGAAATCTTTCTTATTAAAATTTATTTTCATTAAACATTGTTTTATTTTGTAAGTATGGTCACCCTACAATCTAAATAGTAGTACGATGCGGCTAAACGTGGGCCGCCGTATTGAAGAACGTATCGCAATGACAATCCGCCTAAACGTTGAACCGCCGTATTACAAAACAGAGCTGTAATGTAAAATGCCTAGTGGTAATGTAAAACGGCGGATTATACAATCCGACTGCGACATACATTTTACTTAAACAGCTAAAGGAATTAAACATAATCATACATTTATGTGTAGCTTACTGTAGCTATGAGTCGTGGCAAAGGCACCTGAACATATCTTTAATATGGTTTCGGATACAAAACGCATGTAACAAAATATGATACTTTGTGGTAGCGGCGCGGCTCCATTCCTATTGTCTAGAATTTCAACCTGTTCTCGGAATTTGGATCACCAACTTCGTCCAAGCCACAAATCAAAATTCAAACATGACCTGTGTAATATAAATATTATTCTTTGTGGTCTACGGGATAATAAATACCTACAAAGCAGTCGAGCTAGGATGCGCGCCATGATAAATCAAATGACCAATGTATGGGCTTATCGTGCAAAATGGATAAAAGTTTATCGTAGCGCGCGTCTGGGCCTACAGGTGACCATTTTGAAAAGAAGTAGCCCAAGAAATTCATATTTCAAGAGATTGCAACAGTATTACATTCATGCAAGCTAGCTAGGCCGTTACAATATCGCCAACAATATATCTTTTATGATTTATCCAACGACTGCCCTTCTAAACCCAAAAATTCTCACTCCTTCCAGGCTAGGCAACGTGCCGTGCCGCGAGGCGTCGGTCGTCATAGCCGTAAGCAGTCCACACAGAGCTGAATCGTTAGCGGCCGTGGGGCATATCATCGAGAGGCTAAAAGCCAGTGTCCCGATATGGAAGCGGGAGGTGTATGCAACTGCTGCGCCACAATGGAAGGAAAACACGGAATGTGCGTGGTCGAGTATACATAACAGGGGCAGCCAACCAGTGTAGGGTGTAGACCTTCTGTAAATGGAATAGGAGCGATATTGGAACAAAATTCGAAAGGGGACAGCTGGTATAAGTCTAAGATCAGGCACATCAAATATGTGGCTGAAATAAGATTAATTTTGCAACAAAATTGTTGCTTAGAAGACTTCAGATCAAGCTCTTAATTCAGCCGTAATAGTCATAGAAACATAATGATAGAACATCAAGTCACTTACTATCAGGTGATCCATAACTATATGAAAATAACTTGCCAGTCTGTACTATAAAGATTAGGTTTATTAAACTTCTTCTATACAGACAATTGCTTGCTAGTATTGAACATGAATAGTAGGTTCCTATAATACAAACTAGCTGACCCGGCGAACTTTGTTCCGCCTTAATGGCAATAAATAGACTTTTTTTTTTAATTTCGAACGGTATAAAATCGGTATAAATCAATAGTATCCTATGTCCTTCTCCTGGCTCTAAACTACCTCCCTGACAATTTTCAGCTAAATCGGTTCAGCCGTTCTTGAGTTATAAGTGGAGTAACTAACACGACTTTCTTTTATAATATATACAGGGTGTTAGGTAAATGGGTATATGAGCCGACACTAGCCCATGTTAACATGGGCATATAAATGGTATGGTGAAGTCAGAAATTTGATATCATCATTTTTTTTTTTTTAATTTTCATACAAAATAAATTTTATAAAATTCGATTTGTATGAAAAATAAAATAATTAAAATGAAGATATCAATTTTCTGACTTCACCATACTATTTATATGACCATGTTAACATGGGCTAGTGTCGGGTCATAAACCCATTTACCTAACACCCTGTATAGATGTGCCGAATATCTTTAGGTATAATAATAAGAAGTTACCACCTTACGCCTATGTATTAGTGAAGGAAATATTCCGTATGAATTTTGCAATAATATGAATTACGAATTTACGATCTGTTAAGTTTGGCAGCTGATTTTTAGTTTTTAATATCAAAATTATACAATGATTTCGCTCAAAAAGGTAGTTTGATATTTTTATTACTTTAATTTACTTTTATTTTTTAGATAAGTTATAGAAACATTTTGATTTTATTCTTTCTATTATTATTAGTTAAGTAAATGTACTGAGAACAAAAGACGAACTGTTGTGTTTATTGTTGTTTGAGTTAAAACTTACCTAAGTGTTGATTTTTCAATTAAGTGATTTGTTAGATCAAATGCCTCTGGGCAAGAAAATATATTTAGTATACAGATTATTTACATGAAATAAATATTTTTATTGCATGCTGCTTTTTTATTTTAATCTCATAATATTAAATCTCACATTAATACAATCCCTATCCACATTTTGCAAGATAACTAACAAGTCTCTTATTTCAAATTTGGTCCTTCGAGCCGGATCAATCACTAAACATCACCTCACATAGACCTATCCTTGCAGGTGTGATCGAACCTTCATCAAACTCGTCACCATCACCGCCACCACAACAGACCGGCTCAGAACAAATCCTAGACAAGAACTTAATACAAATAAATGTATCCAGCGAAGAACTGCAGCAGCGAATACAGAACTTCATTGAGAGAAAGAGAGAGCAAGTGAACGTAAATAACATTAGAGACTTCATACCGACTAAAGGAGAGAACGAGACGGAAGAAACGGAAACGTGCGCGCGAGTTAGAACGCAATTCGTTAGGCGAAGCGATTCTAAAGGGCATTTGAAAAGTAAGTTGTTATGGAATATCTTTATCACGAAGTCAATCAAAATCAGAAATAATTATTTAGGTAGTTTTTTTGTCGGCGAGTACCTAATAGAAACCACTAAAACTAATTGGATAAAGTTTTTATCACTTATTCTAATTGAATATTGTTTTTAATCCATTCCAACAGATAGATTAGAGGTCTGCTTGCAAAAAAATATGGCTATAGACGATTTATAAGGTTTATCCCAGTTTAGAATCATATACCTACGTAATCTAGGTACATGACTTTGAATATTGCTAGTGTGATACAAGCAGTACACTACTACTATATTATCTGTGCTACTACACAGTAGGTACACACACGCAGTAGTAGTTCAGTATTACTGCAGCTGTCATTCCCGAACACTATAATCCGGGCCTTTTCAATGCGAGAGTGAATAGGCACTTACAGGCAGATATGTAGTACCTTCCTAGACTGCATCTCCCTTAACACCAGGTGCGATTGCGGTCAAATAGGTATTTGACCGCAATCGCACCTCGGAGGCGGGTGCCTTGTTATCTAAATATATAAAAGGAGAAACTGACTGACAGATCAACGCACAGCCTAAACGGCTAAACGTAGGCACTTGAAATTTGGAAGGGACGTAGCTTAGGTACCGTAGAGGTGCACTAAGAAAGGAATTCCCGAAATTCCCACGGGAACGGGAATTAGCGGGAAAAACGGGATTCACGCGTACGAAGTCGCGGGCGGCCGCTAGTGCATAAATAAAAGTAACAGAATTAGTTTTAAAGCTTGGCAACCAACACCTATGCTATGTCATTCTAGTCCGCAAAGTGAACAACGAGTGGGGCCCTCAAACGGTAACCCGACGCGAGTTTTCCCAAGACCTGCCGTCCGCCGGCCTACCACCCTCCATAGCTGAGAGGGTCCTTGCTGTGGAAGACTATCTGAACATCAAGTCGGTATCCCGAGACGTGTTCAAAAGGCTCAAGGATATTGAAGACAAGATCGCGTATTTGCAGTCGGTGTCGCCGGAGTATGCTCAGTTTTGGGTAAGTTTGTATAATACATCACTTAACACCAGGTGCGATTGCGGTCAAATACCTGCCTTGTCTAGCATAAAAAAAAAGATGCCAACTAATGCGCTGAGTTCGAAACTCCGTGTCGCATTTGAAATTCACACACAGTAATCGAAATATGTGCTCATTATCCATTGCAGTATCAATACTCAACATTCGAATAATCTTTAGTACCTACTACGCAAGCAATGTAAACTGTTTACATTATGACGTCGCTGCTGTCATCATTGCTTTCACGAGCAATGTGTTCTGTTTTTGGGCATATTGCTGCGACACTGGCCCCGCCCCCTTCTCACATATCCCTTTAGTTTCTGTGAGCTGTGTCGTGTACATATTAAAGGGAGGGCCGTCTTTAACCTACTGGGGGCCCTGGGCACATAAGGATCAAGGCGTTTTCAAAAAAGGGATATTGCAAAATTATAGCGATAACTTACAACTTAACAGTTTTTTTTTGTGCTGACGGGGGCTCCTCGATTGCGGGGCCCTGGGTACGAAATGAACCCAGATTACCCAGTGGGAAAGAGGGGCCTGATAACAGGATGCCCCAAAAATAGTATACAGGCTGACATTGAGATTACTATGGGACTTTTAGATAGCCAAGCTATCTCCAATGAGGGCTATCGTTTTAGCGCTCACCAGTTGGCGCCACTGTAGAGTAAGGTCCTGTCACTTGCTAGTAGCGAAGACAGTGGCGCCAACTGGTGAGCGTGTAAGTGGTAGGAGGACTATCGTATTTGCACTCATCAAGATGGCGCCACTGTAGAGTAAGGTCCTGTCAATCGCCAGGGGTGCCAACTGTTGAGTATAAAAACGATAGCCCTCATTTCAGTCTAGCCTGACATTTTGGAGCGCCACTGAAATGCGTTCTAATCTTTCAAGTTTATCTGGAAATGTATTATTAATGCCAACTAAGTCAAGTTAATTTTATGTATGTAACTTTGTAAAACCAGTTTTGCAGACCAATAAAAAAATAAGATATTTTCCGAATTGGAAATTGATGATATTGGTGTATTCCTTGCTCATATTATATTTATTCCTTTTGTTATTTGATTGCAGAAAAACAACAGCGTCAAAGACGAAGAGAAAGAGCAGCATTCAATGGACTATACGTTCTCTGCCGACGACATAGCGCGCAAAATCGAACTGCTGGAGAAGCAAGCATCGTAATTCCTTTTGGTCTTTTTTGACAAGTTCTAATTTATCAGTTTTCAATCATAATACATGTCAATAAGATTCAAAATACGTCCTGCTGGAACGCGATGTAGTATAATACATCGTTAATTTGAGTCTTATTGTCATGAATATTTACTTCAACATGATTTTTTTAAATCGTTGCCAAAATAGTATTATTACAACCGATTGACTAATTTAGCGTCGGAAGATGGATCAATTTTTATTTCATCATGAAGATCAATTTATTTTAATACGGTTGTTCTACCTATGTTAGGTATAATAACGTATTGTTATGTTTACTTTTATTAGTACTTAGTAAAGTAAAATTATTTTTTCTTAGTTAATTGGTAAACGTCATACCATCCATCAATTTAAATCTAGAAAATGTTATTAAAACAAGTAGGTACATATATTTAAAACAAATGTATTTATTATTTACACCTTAATTTTACGGGATACCTTAAATTAATACAAGTTTTATGACTGTTTTCACCATCAATCCTTATTTTTTATGTGACCCTTATGGTATCACATACAGGAATTTTGTTTAAAACGGGCATTACTTAGTCTCAGTATTCAATAAACTTTATAATAATTTAAGTAGTACCTAATTGTGAAATTGAAAAACAATAATTAAGTCATTTTAGTGGGAGATTTTGAATTCACTTGACGCCTCTATAAACCACTTCGGCCGAAATTTGTTGATAATCTAAACATTTAATAATTAAGTATTATCTTCCAGTACATCGCCGACTAATTGAAGCACACCCATTTTGAACTTGCGTTTCTGTTCGCGAGTCATGTCCTTCATATCCGGTAATAAACTGTACAGGAACGCGAAATCTGGGTCCCGATGTTCGCTGTGTTCAGTCATCTTTTGTTTCGACTTGAAATATTCCACGGCAAATGTGTTTACGTCATTTAGAGATACTTTTTTAGGTTTCTTAACGTCGTTTGGTTTAGAAAACATTTCTGACTCCCTTTTAACTGCCTTTTTATGTACGGGTGAAGGGATAGGGGACGGCGTTTCAGCATCACAACTGTTGTCAGAATCCTCCTCCATTTCAAGGTCTTCCTGATCCATTTCTGCTCTTGGTTCCGCATAAAAGAACCCCTTCGGTGGTCTGGTTTTCGTGAAACCATCCAAAAACTGTAGCTGCTCAGCCAAATAATATGGTTTGACGTATTTCGACTTCGAAGAAGAGCCGGACGCTCTGTTACGATTTTTTAAATGCCTCGTGTAACATCCCCGTATGTTTTTCCATCTCTCTTTGCAATCGGCAACTGAAATAGGTAGGTATAGAGAAATTAGTGAAAAATGAATTTATTACTCTTTATCAGGATCTATTAAAATTGAAAAACAAGTCAATGAAATGCTCTAATGCACAGTGCTCAAAGAGCTAAGTTCACAAGTACAAAGCAGCCGAGGCTTATCGCCGAAAGAAATTTCTTCCAGATGTAGAGGAAAAAAGTAAATATAAATCGATTAGATTGAGATTTAAGATTGATTTATTGCACAGTCACAGGGATAAAAAATAAACTTATTAAACATACATACCCGATTCATTCATTTTATTTGATATTTCTAACCACGCAGCATCTTGAACGTTCCTGTTCCTATAATCGGGTCTGTTGTAATCGAATAGACATGGTCTTTCTTGGATCATTTGGATTAATTGATTGTTGTATTCGTAATCGTCCCTCATTTTATACAACTTTTGTTAGTAACAACAATAATGTTACGTGCCACTAATATTTGTCACTTATACCGAGTGGCATGTCAGCGCGCCACGTCACGCGTCACTAATGGCGCAGCTCGATAACTTGCGTCGCACTTCCGGTCGAGTGGCAAATCACGTGCCAGTTGCCAGATCATACGTCAGATCAACGCGTCAGACAGAGGCGCCATCAACACAAAAGTAGCGACGGTGATTATTGGTACTAACTAGTACATGCAGGTTTGTTATTTCAGTTAGCCAAGTAGATGGCGTTGTTCTGTTTTGGTTAGCCAAGATAGATGGCGCTATTGACGTTTTTACAAAGGCCGTGTGGGGTTTGGTTGGTTGGTGTGTGAATAATTATACAATTTTCAAAAAAGATATTAATTTAAAAAAATATATAACAATGAAGTAAATGGTGAAGGTGAGGATATTTTATTTAAAAAATGCTTAGAACACTGTAAAAAGAATGCAAAGACCTAATTCATAAAATGAAACGACTGCCATATCAAATAATTTAAATTATTTATTTCATTAAACAACTGACACTTATAGGAACGTATGCAACAGCATAGTTTTTTTGGGGCTAGATCAATAATTAAAACCATTAAAGACACATTATTATGAATAATGTTAGTAACAAAAAGAACAATATTATGATGAAACAAATGTCTTCAAAATGGGTTTATTAAAGTACAAATGCGGGCAACGAATGTAAGATTTACAAACAGTTCTTTGGTTACATTCTAAGTTCTGATTAATTACTTATTAAGTAATATTTGTGTGTGGTTGTTAATTACATAACTTGTAATCTTTACATTTCAACTACACCAGTTAAGCTCAAGTAATAGTCAAGATTTCATCATACACCCGGCTATCGTCCATCTGTGAACTAATTATAAAGAATTATCTCTGAATTATGTCGGTGTATCATGATATCTTGTACTAGGCTTATTAATTTAAATATTTTTTCTAGATTTTTAAAACATATTTTATGTTCAAAAATAAAATTTTACTCCTAAGAGTTAAGAAGGGGCCAATCATCCTATCTGCACGACGTTTTAAGAATAAAGATATATTCACATCCGCAGGAGCTGTGATATTTGTATTGTGTCATACAAATGTCAATGTGAATTCACCTTAAGGTTACTTCCACATTGTGCAAAAAGATCCTAGCCCTATTTCATGATCACAAGGAGCTCAAAATGGAGCGTGAAGATATGCGTACTTTGAAAAGGTATTGATTGATTCTTTTATCTATAAATTTTTATTTACATTTACTCAAGACTTTTACCCCAAAGTTGCAACCCTACTCTGAATAGTCCACGCCCACTAATTAGCCCCGCCCACATCGCATCACTAGTTCACACAGTCACTATTTCACCACTGTTCTTGTTACTTAAACTTCAGCGCCTCGCGACCGGGCGGCGGGCAAACACCAGGATGGCCAAGATGCCCAGGAGTGCCGTCATGAGGTAGAGGTCCCAGTTGGAGAGAAGTGAGGAGTCGCCGCCGGTGATGAACAGCATGGTCAGCGGGCTGGACGAGAACGACTGCGGGAGGTGAAGGTTTATTAAGTATCTAGCTTTTAGGTGTGACTTTAACAGTGTGAATTTTAGGCCTGTCGCGAATGAGTATAGTGTGTCAATCCCTAAAACACTTTTTTCATCAAAGGTATAATGAGTTTTCATATTGCCAACATGAGAATACTGATTTCCTATACAAACTTCTACCACCTTTGATTTTAAGCCATTACGTAAGCAGTTTACTTGCCTGTTCCTTATAATAATATTAGCACGGATTACCGCCACTACAGAATATTATTATTAGTCTTTGTGTATCCTATGTTTAAACATGATAGATAACTAGGTTTGGGCGTTACGCAGTTTCTGAGCTAGGAGTGGGCAATTTGACTTAGAGGGCGTAAATCGGATGTTTATAATCCTCCGTATTTACACACTAGGAAGGTATTGTGGCGTACCATTTTTAGGGGGTGGGGGTAGCAGCTCTCCCCTATCCCTCCTCGGTACGCCTATTTTTTTTAATAACAGGTTTCATTTCGTGATGAAATTAATGAGGGCTATCGTTTTTATACTTAACAGTTGGCACCCCTGGCGATTGACAGGACCTTACTCTACAGTGGCGCCATCTTGATGAGTGCAAATGCGATAGTCCTCCTACCACTTTAGCGCTCACCAGTTGGTGCCACTGTCTTCGCTACTAGCAAGTGACAGGACCTTACTCTACAGTGCGCTAACTGGTGAGCGCTAAAACGATAGCCCTCATTGGTAACCAGTTAAGTTCTGCTACTTATCACATAAAAAACATAAGTAAAAGGGTGGTCACCACCATGGTAGATGACGAGGTAAGTAAAAGGTAGTTTACCTCCATGAAGTCGTGTAACGCGGTGTGCGCCGAGAGTGCGGCGAGCGCCAACGCGGCCGGCAAGCGAGCGTCCGGCGACGTATCCGCCGCCAGGTCGTAGCATCTACCAAAATACACGAGAAAAACGGTGAATTCATTGTTAACTTCGCATGCTACTTGTAATGGCGAAACATAATAATAATAATGACCGTGAGTTAACGTTATACCACAGAATAATAATAAGTACTACGTACAGAAGTTTTACTTCGCGAAGGTATTTAAAAAAATGTATGCTTAATGTCATTAACAATATGGTGTAATTTAGCTTGTCTCAAGAGTCAAGTAAGTTTGTCAGAAGTTTTGTTGACAAACGTCAGTGATCGGTACTGCGCCGAAGCTATAGGGCTGACTTCGGTAAAATGATGTGACGTGAGGTGCCAATCTGCAGAAAATGGCGGAGGAAATACATGATTTAGCATGAATTATCATGAATAATATTAACTACTTATTTACCTCTCAGTGTCTTCAGGCAACTTAAAAAAGTACATTCTGTGTTTTTATTATTATTTAGGCAGTTAAATACTACACAGTATTTAGTACACCATTTTCTTTATTTTTTTCCATCATACACAAGAATACGCGTGCGTGAGTCAATGTTCGCTCGTATGTGAGGCCTTGTCGAATAGTACTCTTGTAGGGGGCAATCATGCGTGTTTTGTTTTCGATGTAAACTCGCGGAGATGAACAGGCCTGGTTATACCGAAGAACTTATGGACTTCGAGTAAAAAGAAAGCCTAAGAAATAATAATAAATACATATTATTGCACACCAAACAAATAACATAACAGAAAGAAAAGGAACATGTGTTAATTCTTCATAAAATATACCATATTTTTACACAAATAAATTACTTATTGTTATAATTGTGTTCATTGTTGAAAAGACAAAATAAATAAAAAAGATTCTGATTCTGTAAAAACCAATCCGAAAATAGGAGAACAACAACTTTTTTTTCTGCTTTTTGAAGCACCACTAAATGATTTTCTTGTTTAGCAAGAACGTTAACTGGTAAATATTTTTTTATAGTTTGTTTTATTCTTTTATAGATTCAAATCGAAGAACTTCCCGTTGCCAGGTCTGGCTCACTCCGCGCGGTACATCCGATAATTACCTACAGCGAAGCGCCCCGCCGGCGGGTATTATATCAGTCGAGTGTCACGCGCGCGCCCGTCAGGACGCTGGCGTGTTCCACTGTATCGTGTAGTACCTAATTCTATGATCGAAGTATAATTTAAAAATGGACATAAAGAGAAAGAAATATTATTGTGCGGCGTTCGGGTGTTTAAATTCGAAAAGAAATCTACCGGATTTATCTTTTTTTTCGCTTCCCAAAGATGCTGAAAGGTATGTTGGCCATGTAGGTAATCAATAATTCTTAGGATAGTATAGGAACCTAACCAACCATCATGACTACTGCTCAGAATGCGTTCGTTCGTTTCAGCCAAATGACGTCCACTGCTGGACAAAGGCCTCTCCCAAGGTTTTCCATAATGAATGCGTACTTACCTACATACGTATCTCATTACAAATAAGTAGATTATTTATTTTTTCACTAGACAGCAACCCTAACAGCGTAAGAAGAGTTCAGAGGCACGCGATAGAAAGAGACAAAACTTGTAGGTGAATAAAATTGTAGGTACGTAGTGCTGTGCGAGCTGAATTCCACTGTATCGCGTCGTAGCAAGACTCGCATTTATTTAAATCGTCTTGCGGAGTAATCCTTCTGTACCTGTACTATTACTTATTCTGTGCCGTTGCTAGTAAAAATAACTTCTCTATTCAAGCGATAATGTTACAATAACTGGATATGTCTGTTACATCACTTGGAACACCGTGAAATCCGTTAATTTATAAAATTTTAATTCTATAAACAGTATTTGTCCTTTGTGAACATTATGAATAGCAAACTCAAAAGGCAGGAAACCAAAGTCGTAAAACAAAATAATAAAAAATTGTGTTTCAACTGACCGTTTAGCGAGATGCAAGTCCTTGGCGAGTCCTAACCCGCGCGCGTGCATGTAGCCCAGGTTGAACGTGGCCTGCGCGTTGTGCAGCTGCTCCGACGCTATCCTGGGGGGACAGAGTTCAAAATCGCTTGAATAAATGATACACAGTATAATTTAATGAACAGGGATGTCTTGAACCTTTTGGGGGCCTTATGCCTGTTTTCACCATCAATCCTTAATTTTTAAGTGAACCCCATGTGATACACATAACAGGAATTTTATTTTCAAAGGGGTCACTTAAAAATTAGGGATTGATGGTGAAAACGGGCATTAGAGATCCAGGGGGCTTATGCCCGTGGTGTGGCGTGTAAATAGCCACACCAGGCGGGATCTTAATCGGAAGTCCAAATTACGTTTCCCAAATGATTTTGCCTGCAGAGGAGAAATAGTTGGTCCCACTAACCTCTGAGCCAATCTCGGGCCCCCTTCCGTCAGCTCGACCACTGCTGGCTCCGGGACACTCCGGGATGAAGATGGATCGGCTTCACTTCCCCTGCAGGGGGTTCGGGTCACAAGCAATTTGGGCTTTGACTGCGTAGGTGGTTTGATGCGAATGCGTTGTGCGTTATGATGCGATTTGCGGGAGATAAAAGTGCGGTTTTTTCACTCGCGAGACTGCGAATATGTGCGTTGCGATAAAGATTTTACGGTGAAGTGTGTCAAAGCTTGACGTTCAGAAACGCCAAGAATGACCACAGAGATGTGGAAACCAAACAGTTTTCTACCTGCAGACAAAACTATTTGGGAATTAAAAAAATAAAAATAAACTATGCGTACATCTGCGTAACCAGCCCGTTTTCACCATCAATCCCTAATTTTTAAGTGACCCCTATACAAAAAAAATCCTGTTATTTGTTACCATAGGGGTCACTTAAAAAT